ATGTTGTTGTTTGTTGTTTATGATAATGTTAATTGCTTTTTCCACCTCAGGCCAACAGTGATTTTATGTTGTCCATTGAAAATAAATTCTTTTTACAGTTCAACAACACATGATTTTGTATTCTATAAAAATATACAATAATGCCAAGAGGAAAAACTACTGGAATTTACTGATTAATTCAGATACAGACAGTTTAACAATAGTTAAAACAAAATAAATAAAATGGTTGTTGTTGTTTTTTTAAATCAACTTTCTTAAAATATTTGTTTTCTTAAAATTGATAAAAAAAAAAAAAACTAACACTGACCATGGACATGTTAATAACCCTAATCCCAACTACTCTAAATCATTTCGAGTTCTGAACAACAGGTCAAGTAATTATTAAATTATTTATTTAACAGTATGTAATACAGTCATTCTTTGTACAAGCATAAAATGTATAAAACAAAACCAACATTTTTACATCAGTTTAGGAGGATGTCCTCCCTGGAGCCAAACGCAGGTAATCTTTGATACACTTTTCTGCCTCTGCTTCTGTGGGACTCAGAAGGACACTGTTCCTCATAGCTGCAGCTGTGTGTTGAAAAGATAAAATTACTAGTTTACCAAGAAAAAAAACAACCATTGACTTTCATTTATTACTGAACATAGCATTACTGAACTAGAACAGACAGGCCTGACTATGCATATGCGCGCAATTGTAAAACTTTTATGAGCACAAGTGGAACAAATTTTATAGCAAATTCCCTAAATATTTTTAAATTAAAACATATACACATGTGATTTGAGTGAGATATGTAATTACAACAAACAAAACATGTTTCACTATAATATCACAATCATACTTTTATCCATAAAAGTATTTCATTAACTTTGGACATACCTATTATTAGTGCTCCGATATTTGTTTTTCTTATGCCTCGCTTGTCTCCCCGTCCACACCAGTTGAGCTGTTTAGCCACATTAGAAGAAAACATTTTGGTGCAAATTCTCCATATGGTCTTTTTCATAGTTTGACCTCCACTAACAGACAATCTGTTCACCTAAAACAGAAATTAAATATAGATTATGAATAAGAATTCAGTCATTTTGGTCACTTCTTGAGTTGCATAACAACGAATCTTACAAATTTTTGCATTGTCCCTCTATCCAGAAGTCTTTGCTCCAAGCAGTCAAGATCCTCCATAGACATCAGAGGAAAGACACAATCCTCTTCCTCATCCTCCATCTGCAGTAGAGGCACAAAGTGCTTGTTCCCCACAAGACACTGAACCAGTGCAGTCAGGTGATTGATTTTCCAGTCCATTTCTCCCTGTGACTCAAAAATAGCCCTCTCTATAGCTGCAATACCACAGGTGATTTAGCTGGAAACTGCCATTTGTAAAATGGTAATTATTAAAAAATATATGAGTTTAATTGGCTCTGATAAAATTATTAAACTTACCTGTACATTGATTATTTTCAAAACTCCCTGGACTTGCGTCCGACATAGCTGTAAAAACAAATGTACAAACATTAAAACTTCAAGTTTGTTAACTAATATATTTTAAAAAAGCATGAAACAAACATATAGAAATATCATTGTCTGTTGTTAGATTTCTGGTAAGAAGCTATTTCCAACTTAAACAAAAAAAAAAAAAAAGAGAAAATAAATATTTACTTTTTTTTCTGTGTAAATAATGACTTTAACAAAGAATACTTTCACTATGCATTAATAAAGGCATTTTTTGTAAACAAAGAAAACAACAAATTTTAGTTAATTTCCCCCCAGCTTAGAAATTACACGCGTTCATTTGAAACAAAAATAAATACAAGCTAGAAACATGCCCTTTTTCTTAATGTATTATTAAAATTAGGTTGAAGTTGTGTCCCCAGGTATTTCAACCCTGTTGCCATCATAACTCTTTATTTTATTTAAATGTGCTTAAGATCATAGAATTCTGTCTATATTGCAACATCACCTGTTCATTAAGTAAACTCTGCAAGGACATGTCTCAGTAGGGACATAATTATTTCAACCCTGTTATCATTTTGTACAGTAAACAACTGATGATTGAAAACTGAGTATTTGTGTAATGTAACGCTCCACATTTAATTCTTCTAATAAGGCTCTAGTGTCATGATCTTTACCTGTCTAACTCAACTGTGTAACGGTCAACCCTGTTACCTTTACCATTTTCCCAAACCTATATCATTATACCTTGAAACAGTATATTAATGTGAAATTAAAAACACAGTTCTCTCCGAAATGTTTAAAATGTACAGAGATTTACTTTGGAAATGAAACAATGCAAAGAAAGGAATTGTTTTAAAACCATGACTGTGAATGCAGTAATCTCAGAGTGGCCTTTAAAGTTTAAGTAAAGCAGCTAGACTCACCTGTTTTTGTTGATGCATTTCTCTTGTGATCCCCATCATGGAATGGCTTGCGACGTGTAAAAATCATGAACAGCCATGTAGTGGGAAAAATGTGTTGGTTTCTTCAAATACAATCATTATTTTTAATTCTTACAAAATGTGTATTTTATGAAAATCAAACATGAACATTCATTCGAAACAAAGGATCACAAATCTCACTGTGTTCAAAAAGGTTTTCAGCCTGTGTTGTAAAAAGTTTAAATTTAATGATGCAACTTATTTTTATGATTGTTTGAATGCTCATTATTTCATGAAAATGTTTTTGCTGATCTAAGGAATATTTTCCCACCTCAGGCTAAAGTTACATTTATTTAATGTTATATATTTTATAATTATTTTAAAAATGTTTCAGTTCAACTCGTGATTCAGTATCCTAAAGAAATATTCAGTAAAGCCAGGCATAACATATTGTAATTTACTGATAACCTCAGATACAGTAAACTAAATACACAGAATATTACAAAAACACAGTGATGGAAAAAAAGTAACAGGGTTGAATACGATAACAGGGATGAAGTGACTACTGTTGGTGAAATATACATTAATTGATTCAATCATTCATCCATTCATTTAAATATTAACAACTAATTTACATAGTAACTAATAGTACAATACAAAAAATACAGAGTATTTAACATATAACATATTCATTATGAATGACCCACAAAATTTTGTGAATTGAAATCAATCTCAGCCAGCCCTCTCTCTTTCAGTTACTACTGAAATATTGTTCAGCTCATTGACTTGGTCACAAGTCATCTGGTGGAGCCTCAATGTTGATGAACTCAAGTGCTTTGTCGACCACCTCACTTTTAAGGCTATTCGGCCTCGATAAGGGCCCTGATGAGTTTCCATGCACCTGGGATGTCCTGACCCTGACTTAACAGTCTGTCTGTCATCCTCTTCAGGGTTGCAGCAACACCATCAGACTGGGTTCGGGATTGTCTGGAGGGGTAGCAATTAATTTGAAAAACCTCCTCTTCTGTCGTTCTTTGGCCTCTCTCCACTGCTTGCGCCTCCATCTCTGAGCCTTCTCACACAGGTCACCAATTCTCTTCTTTTTCCCTGTCTCAACATCTCTTTTCCACCTCTCTCGCTCACTCGTGAGGTACTTTTCCCTGCGTGCCGGATCAGCATCCCTTCTCGCCCTGTACTCTCTCTGTTTTTCAGCAGCTGTTTTTTCCATTACTGTGTCTGAAAAAGGAATCCAATATGAAGACTTGCTCAGCTTCTCCATATTCCAAAAGAACAGATGCTTTCAAAACTCAGCATCACTTGATCATATGTATGAATTCATCATATGTGCAAGTTGAATTACATTTATTGATGTAATTTCATATGACGCTTTTGTAAGTAACGACAGTACTATTTTACAAAAATGTAGATATTTTGTCTTTTTCAACCCTGTAATGACCATAATTCTGAATTACATTTAGAAATGTTTCAGGATCAATTGTTACAGGGTTGAAGTTCAGTGTAAAAACGACTTGCTACAGCATCAGTGTCACTGCAGTACTTGAAATTATTCAGACCCTAAACTGAGTATTGAGCTTTGAAATGTTGATCAAAAAAAAGTTCATGAATTTCTCATTGATGCTTGTCTCTGTAGAAACTGCCTTCAGAAAGTGACTTGCACTCTTCGCATCCATGGCAAGCTTTGATAGTAAAACCAAGGTGACAAACCATGAGTGCCAGTGAGAAGATAACCATGCTTTCCATTTCTGGTGCCATCAATTCTTTCTACAGTGGTAAACAACTGCTGTTAGTGTTCACGGACCTCAGTTCAGTCTCAAATACTATGTGAAAAGAGGTCTGTGTCAAAACAGAAATCTGCCTCTAACCACACTCTCAGGTTACCCCTAGCTTACCTCTTGGATAAACAGAAGTGGCAAACACATTTTTCTCAGAAAATGTTGTTGAACAGATCTCCGGTATTATTTTATGATATTTGTGTCATAAAGAAACATTCATACAGGTTTTCAACAACATGAGGTGAGTAAATTTCTTCTTTTCTTTTTTTTAGTGAACTGCTTTTAGAGAACTGCTAGTGAAAAACTTTACAATCTTATTTTTGAAAACATTAATACAAACAAAATGTAAAACTAAATGAATTAGCACATTGTCTAACCCTTCCTTTTCTGAGGTGGAAATCTTTTTTCTAGGTGGATGTGCTTTTGGTTTTTCAATACTGACGTAATTCCTGTAAGTGGGGTTTGCTTCATGTAAACAGACCCTTTGCGGCGTCCTAGTGTACATTTTGTTGTTTTGTACATGTTTACACAAATTTTGTATACTTGCAAAATTTGATTGTTTAATTGCACAGCTACACTAGTTTGAGAAACTCAGATCAAAACTTATTTTCCTTTAATCTAAGGATTTTGAAAAGCAAGCTGTTTAACAAAGCAGCTGCTACAATGTAATCATCTTGCTTTAACACAAACCGGTTTGTTAAAATCAGTTTTATAAAACCTTCATACTGTTATTCTTATTCCCTTGTCTAAGTATTTTAAAATAAAAATACAGATTTATTCTTTTTGAAGTGTGAAGTTTTTATGCTTAAAAAAAAGTTTGTACACCTATGTATGTTTTGGTGACATAATTGTAATATAATGGATTTAATAGCCTGAGAAAAGACATTACTATCTACAGTACATGTTCATAATATTTCCAAAATAAAGCAGTGCAGAAATGTAAAATTTTATTCTTACAGGTAGTTGGGTCCACACTGATGAATGCTGGGATTGCAAGGTCTGCTGAAGTGCTTGGACTCTGAAGAGCTTGAAATGATGCGGGCAGATCTAGTGAGACCCCGAGCTCTGGTTCTTCCGCTGGCTGGTGAAGTTCAGCGTTGGAATATTCAAATGTATGTATGCTTCCAGCTTCTGCGGGTTCATCTTTTACACAAACTATTTCAACCTCTGCCTCTTCCTGTTTGATTTTAAGTGATGGTGCTCCAAAGGTCAATGTGCTTGTCATTTGGGATGACACACTTTCATCTGCCATCATGGGTGCAGAGAGGACGCTGCTGTCCAGCATGTCTGCAGAGGCGAGAGGGTCCTGACCCCAGATTGGATCAATGGTCTCAGACAGAAGCGCCTGACTGTCCACCAGATGAGAGCTTGAGTTCTCAACTACGGAAACAACAAAAGTCACTTTCTGTTGAGTTTAGGGAAAACATTAGGAAAATGACATTATTTCTGGTGCAGTACAAAGTTTAATAAGCATTAATTAGTATTAGCAGAAAATTGGGGTTACACTTTATTTTAAGCTGTCCTTTTTACAGTGTTACACTTTATTTTTTAGGTGTCCTTGTTACAATGTAATTATACATTTAAGTACTGAGTAATATTAATTAACTACATTTGCTTACTATATGATTACGGTTTGGCTTAGGGTTACTTGCATGTAATTATGCATAATTTATGCTTTGTAGGAACAGGTTTTGTAGGAACAGTTTGTTTGTCTCCCTTTAAAACTATCTACCGTCCTGCTTGACAATTTAACAGAAATTGTCATGACACTTGAAAATAAGTGTTTATATAAATGTATTAATGCTGTGCATATGATATGTGCCATCATAAGACAACTCTGCTTTAGATATCATATTGGCCTACCACTAGTTCTAAGAATATATGATCAGCAATTAACATATATTCGTCTATTGCTGCAATTACTAATAATGGAATGTTTTAGTCATTCCTGTTACGCAGCACATTTTTAGCGTTGTAACTTCTTAAAAAGGATTTTTAAAAAGGATCTATTTATAATACAAATCAAAAGTGTAGTTTATAAAAGGGTTTGCTTCATGTATAGAGCCTTTTAGTGCTCATGTGGTTATTTGTACATGTTTCCTTAAAAGTGTCTGTGATATATGTCTTGTGGTATTTGCTTGTATCATTACTGACAATGGAATTGTTTGGTCAGTCCTGTTATGCAGCTCTTAGAAATTAGTATGCATGTTATACTGTAAGTAGGCATTACTACAAAAATTGAAGTGTATAAAAGTGTAGTCCATAGTTTAGAAAATTATAATATGATTATTTACACAACAGCAAGAACAATAACAGGATGGAACTTAACAGGATGGGAAAAAAAGAGCTAAAGTTAGCCACTGCTCAGTGAAGCATTGACAGTTAGCTTACATGACACTGCGTTTTTGCGTCTTTTTAAATTTTGACAATCATATCAACAATTTATGTAATTTATTTAAATATAATTAAATATTTAAAGAGTGAGACAAACCAACTAATACAACAAAGCATATTTAAAGACATCTAATCAAGTGTTAATGCTAATACCTAGCTAGAGATGTTTGTACACTCTAAAAAATGCTGGGTTAAATACAACCCAGTGCTGGGTAAAATAGGGACAAACCCAGCAATTGGGTTGTTTGTTTAACCCAACCTTCTGGGTAGTAACCCAACCGCTGGGACAAAACAACCCAATTGCTGGGTTTGTCCCTATTTTACCCAGCACTGGGTTGTATTTAACCCAGCATTTTTTAGAGTGTACTGTTGTCTCCAACAAAAATTGTCACATCCTGCTGAATGACAACAGGATGGAAATGAAAGCTGAGGAGGAAATTGGCTACTAAATAAAACAATATAAAGACCATAACGAAAAATAATATCTGTAATCTTTCTTAAGTAATATGTTTTTATCCTAGTGGCAAACATGGCAAGACGATCTCAAAACAAATGAATTAAATTCCGGGTTTAAAATCTACATTGTGTTGACGTCACAATTTGTGACGTGGAAATGGACTATAGTACATCGATGACGCTTCAGTGTCTATTAAATTATTCATGAGACTGCGTGTTCTTATCCTATGAGAAGATGCTTCGCTTAATTATTCACAACAAACACAGACGTTTCAGACTGTGAGATGACATCGCTGCACATTAACTGAGAGAAACGTTCATGGGTCGAAGAAGAGTGTTTGTTTTTACTTTGTAATAAGAGTTCGGCACAAACGCGATTCATTCACTTGGTGAGCATAACCGTTTTTACAGCTCTGTGACACAACCCGTCAAAAGGCTTATATAAACGCCACAGAATAAGCCTTAAATGTTCTCAGAGGTGCCACAGCGCGTTCATATAAATGTTTTCGATGCAGAGGGCAAATGGCTGTACATTTATTTGTGTTTTTAACTCGATGGGAGCGAAATGAAACCGTCTGAACTCGAAGCTGTGTGTTGTGTCTCCCCTCTTCCCCCTCCTCCGCTCCACTGAGCACCACGCCCACTTTTTTAGCTTTTTTTTTTTTTAAACTGTGGTGAGAACTAACCAGTGCTGAAACGGGGGGTTTCATGACCCTTTAAAAAGTCTTATGTTCACTTGGTTGTGATATTGTGGCAAAAGAATTGCTACCTAATGTCATATTTTAATTAAGACATACATGATGGGAATATGGAAAAGTGCTGAATAACACGCATTACCCATTTACCTGTCTATAAAGGAGGCGTTTCATACCTTTATGAACTGTTGATCCATGGGTCTCTTCAATATTGACCTCAGGAATGTGATTCTCACTTCTTAATGTTTCTTTGGACATGTGCATCTGCTGTCTCACCCATGAGGGTCCAGCTAACGTTACAGGGGCTGGCTCGGAGACTCTAGGTCTGGGACAGGGGTTTGGGGGATTGCTCATCGGCCCTCTTCTGCAGTGCATCCCTGTGGATGTTGTTGCCATGTCTCCATCTCCCTGATACAGTCTGTGGTTGGGCTCTTTAGCAGACAGGACGCTGATGTACTTGCGCATAGTTTTCATCTGACAGCGGGACGTCTCCAACATCCTCTTGATGTTCTCATTCTCCTTCTCTTTAGCTGTCATCTCCCGTTTGATATCCTCAAATTTGAGCCCGACCACCCGGATCATTTCTCCTAACACGGTCTCCACTGCGACGTTCACGGCTTTCTCAATAACAGCGCCCATCTGGCCCCGCATCAGAGAGATGGTCAAATTCACATCCATGCTGATGGGCCAAAACACACGTGCGATCTAAAAGCTTTAAATGGCCGATCGATATTCAAGTATATTTGAGCGAAGCGTACGTTTTTCAGATAAATGCTCAGGCACCGTCCGCCATTGGCCGTGCAACGACAACAGTGAAACGGAGAAAGAATCACATCCGGTTCAGCGGGAGCGTTAACCCTCTGTAGGAAGCATACAGTATGCTGCTTGAATAAAAACATTACAGTGTGTTGTTGATTTTAGGATGGCAAGTTTGTGTGCATGTAAATCTCCAGGGAAAGATCTGCACAATTGGATTCAGAAGAATAAGGAGGCAGAAACAGAAGTTTTCAAAGTTTTCTTTTGTCAAAAAAATGTATAATGCAACCTAAGTTCTCAAAAACAAAGCAAAATATCACTATCAGATGGAAAATATACATGTTTACATGAATAGAGTGGATGTGGTTTGAGGTTGAATATTTTAAATCTGTGACAAGTCAAACCTGCTTGGTTTATGTCACAGCTTCTGCATGATGTGGAAATTATGCACATGTGAGAGATGCGAAAGCGTAGGTCTATATGTTGTTGTCTTTGGGCTGAGTTTGTTCCACAGAGTGTGAAAAGTTTGCTGGTGCCTTCAAAATTTAGTTGTACATCATCAAAAGATTCTTAATTTTGAATTAGTCTTTGAAGACGTTTTCTAACTAAGCTGGTATAAAAGACTGTTAGTTTGTAAGTGTAATGTGATATTTGTTGACATTATATTGAACATATTTTTAGAGGGATGTAGGCCCTATCTCTCAATATCAAGAATTATGACCAGACATGCTCATATTATGACCTTGCGTGCATTTGTCGGTAGTTTTTATGATACTGTGTTGATCACACTGGTGGTCACTGGTTGTTAATAATTTCCTTCCTAAATCGATAATATGACCAAGCCATTCACATCTACATACCACATTTATGAGATCTTATCTTACTTTGTTTTTCTTTATTTACTTCACCATATAATCAGCAAATTTAAATAATCATTCAATATAGTCTCTGTTTTATATATTTATTGTTAGAAAAAAATGTTATAATTTTTTGGGGGGAAAAAAGCACTAAACAAAACTCATATTATCATTGATTATTGGTCCATGGGATCAAAATAATAATTAAAAAATGCCCAAGCTAGATACTTCATATACATTTAGCTTGGCATAGCTACAATTCAGCATTAGGTTGTACAAGCCACCAGATGAAACCATCTGACACAGAGAACATCAAGACTGCGTAATGTATGCAGTGCAGCCACAATTTGTAGATTCAGGCATTCAGGAAAGTCTGTTTTGTTTGGTAGAAAGGCAATAGTTTTGTCCTGTGATATTCTTTAGTGTAGCCTAAGTCAAATTCATCCAGCAGTAAGTCCTAGAGCAGTTAAAGCATGAGCTCACTTATGCCAGAAATGGGCTCAGGCAATAGCAAGATGAGAGTTGTGGTTCATATCTCTGTGGGATCCTCCCCGTTTCTGCACTTCACGCATGTCCACATATTCGGTGTTGTCTAGATCACGCCGGTTTACATTCCTCTGAAACAGTAAAATCATTTGTATTTGAAGTACTGGTGTACCAGACGGCCACAGGCATATTGCATTACTGGCACAAATACAGTGTTGGCACAACAGAGGAAAGAACTTACCTGCATTGGGACATAGGTCAGTGTGTCAGAAGACTCAGGCTTTGTGGCCTGGAGAGGAAGACAAATACAGCACAATATATAATACATGCATATCAGCTCAACTGCAGGATATCAATGTAATTGTATTAGACTTAGAATAATCAAACATATTTGATGCCTATATTACACTGTGATTCCATTCAGCTTTATCTATACTTATAGAATTAAAAAAAAAAGGTTCAAAAGAAAATTAGCTGAAAATGTACTCAACCTCAGCCCAGCCAAATTGTAGATGAGTTTGTTTTTTCATCAGAACAGATTTGGAGAAATTTAGCATTACATCGTTTGTTCGCCAATTGATCCTCTGCAGTGAATGGGTGCCATCAGAAACAGCTGATAGAAATGTCACAATAACCCATAAGTAATCCACACGACTTCAGTCCATCAATTAATTTTTTATGAAGCTGTGTGTTTGTAAGAAACAAATCCATCATTGAGGTGTTTAACTTTAAACACTTTCTACTGGCCAAAATAATCCATAATAACTTTGCAGTGCTTGATCTGTGCATATTTCTCTCCTGATTGAGTGAACTAGGGCAAGCAATACTATGGATAGAGGACTACTTTAGCTGAAAGCAACTGTTTGAAGTTAAAAATGATGGATTTGTTTTTTGTTTTTGTTTTTCAAACACAGCTTCTCACTTCACAAGACATTAACTGAGGGACTGGAGTCATGTTGATTACTTGTGATGTTTTTATCAGCTGTTTGGACTCTCACTCTGACGGCACCCATTCACTGCAGAGGATCCATTGGTGAGCATGTGCTATTATGCTAAATTTCTCCAAATCTGTTCTGATGAAGAAACAAACTCATTTACATCTTGAATGGCCTGAGGGTGAAATTTTTCATTTTGGGGTTAACTATTCCTTACAAAATGTTTTCAAAGATACTAAGTAAAGCTGACAATTTTATTAAACCCCCAATAAACAGCAGATGCTAATGCTAAGAAGTAGTGCTTGCACATAAAAGACAGGGTGGAAAACAGCATGGAAAGCGCAAAACAGCATTAAGTTATTATTTATTAAGTGGTGATTGTTTTATAAAAGCAGTAAGGTCCTTGAGGCAATGCTGTAGTGTGAATATAGTCAATCCGTTGTGCATAATAACAGCACTGTGACTGCAGTATACTCACAATATAGCACAGCCTCTCCGTCTAGACAGTATAAAACAACACAAACATAAAATAAAAAGTTAGTAAATAAGTTTTACCCTCAATCTTATGTAGACTGCCGTAAGAATAACGCTGTAGACAGACAGCATTACCACCACTATTATCAGACCACAGATTAATAGGGTATACATTTCTTCAAGTGCGTGACTTTCTACAGGTCTGTGATCCTGGTTATTTGTTTGGTTAGTGAATGGACAACTGTTCTTCGGTGGAGCCAAAGACTTATTGCAACCTTTAAAAAAAATTGTATAAAGGTTATTGATTTTTTTAAAAAGCAAATTTCGAACTAAATCTGAAATATTCCACATTCCTTGCATGCATTTCTGGCTATATAAAACTGATGTACTGTGTTGTTTACACTGGGTGAACTTACCTCGGAAAAGCTTCGTTTTTGATCCTTCTTTAGTTATGACTGGAAATGGTTTAATTTTGGATATCTCACAGGAAAATGTATTTTTGTGTAAGCCCTCGGGTTTCATTAAGGTGAACGTGAATTTGTTGTCCTTATGCTGCCATGTACAGTCATGTTTATACGTGTCCTGTTCTTGGCTTTTGTTATAAACCTCACAAACATATTTATCATTCATTTTCAACTTAGCTTCCAATTCAAACTTTTCCTCTCCATTAAACATGCATGTGACACTGACCGAGTTGTCGTCATTGAATGTGTGGTTGAGAGGTTCACTCACGTTCCAACTACAAACTGAGGTGACAAAGAAGAAAATCAGTTTAGTTCATTTATAGATCAAATGTTTTATATTTCAATTTTACAGTTTGACGTTGACCATGTTTATATGCACACAATTGTTTAAGTCTTTCTTTTGAAAATACCAGATATATGAATCTTCCTGAATATATACATATTCCTGAAATGTACAGTTAGATTATTCTAAATAAGCATAAGACATGCACATTATTTTCCTGATATTCTGTTCTTTCTTGCTATTTATTATGATGCATTTAGTACTTTTGAACAGTAATTTAATCAGCTTATTCTCATTCACGTCATGAAAATTGTACACAACAATGTAAATAAATGAATATTCAGTTATATTCACGATACTTTACAGGACTCAAAGTGAATATAGGCATATGACAACTGTCTCCGCAAACCAGAATATTTGTTTAATCTGGTTTTGGCAATCAGGACATTTATATAATTCTGATTAATGCAGTGTTTTATTTTAATACACTGATTTTTACTGCTGACTTAAACATGTCAAGCTAAATTTACCATAAAAATGACCAGTTAAAACCAACTTACTACTAGTTACCAGTGTAATTTACTGTGCCAGTAAGAAACCAGTATTGCCAATCTAAAACCGGTGCCAAGACCAGACCATCTAGGAATTTAAGCTGGTCTAAATTAGTGTCATCTGTTTTAATCGGCATGTTTGGTGTGAATGTACACAGACCAGTAACTGACAACAGCATTAAAAAGGTTAGCCTCTTACCATTGTGAAGTATGAAACAAAAGCTGAAAGTAAGCAGAGTGAACCTGTCAGGCATGTTAACATATCCTCGTCAGTTTGACAGTGTGATGCTGGCCGAAGCTCTTCAGTTTGTTTTTGCTGGAGTGAGAAAACACAGGAAGTATGTGGGTTGGACGATGAATATCACCCACAGACATCATATTTGTTGCTCAGTATGATGTGAGAAATTGATTAAGAGAAGACAGCAACATTTAACACACTAAACAATTAAACAATTCATTATTGTGAAGTGAATCATAATTTGTGATACAATTTGAGTTTTGACCTCTTTTCTTAAGGTGTCCCAGCTGAGGCACGCGTCTGACGGTGAGGAAGTGAGTGGGCAGCTTTCTTGTAATATTAAGTTGTTGAAAGGAAAATGTTTGATGTACAGCCATGTTAGGAAAAACCCATATCCTACTTAATGAGCAATAAAGTAATTCTGATCCACTTACTTTCATATGCAGTTTAGTTTCGTAAGAATAAAAAAGTCATACAGTATTCTCATTTTGTTCACAATAGTTATGATCAAATGTTCAGCTATGTAGAATTGTGGGTAACGGTGGTTTTACATTAGCCAGCATATAAACACATGATTTACATATGTGACCCTGGAGCACAAAACCAGTCTTAAGTCGCTGGGGTATATTTGTAGTAATAGCCAAAAATACATTGTATGGGTCAAAATTATTGATTTTTCTTTTATGCCAAAAATCATTAGGATATTAAGTAAAGATCATGTTCCATGAAGATATTTGGTAAATTTCCTA